TGTGGCCGTATTAACAAATTGTAAACTCCAAACCTAGAAATGCAAGTAGTGGCTGATTTCGGGTTGGTTTGCAACTGCTTTTAAAAAAGCACTTCTCAACTTTTGGCTTTAAAAAACACTTATTTTCCCAAACACTACAACTTTTATTTTTCTCGGCTTCCGCGTCAAAAGTGCTTTTACTTTTTCTATTACACAAAAAACACTTATTTTACCAAACTACCCACTTTTACTTTTCAAAATCACTTTTTTCTCAAACACTATCAACTTTTATTTAATCACTTCTTCTCATTTCTTTAAAAAAAGCACTTTTTTAAAAGCAGAAGCTGTTGCAAACAGACCCTTCACGTCTCTCACCGAAATAGTCTGAATTTGAACCGTAAAGCTAATTTGCGGAGGAATTGCAATTTGAAAATTAAGTCCAATTGTTAAAATAAATGTAATTGATGAATTCACGATTGAAAATGGGAACTTACAACATTTGTACTTACCCGTCGATCACACGCAACCCAAACTTCAAAGTCTCGCTTAAGTGGCTAAACTTGGATGATAGACGGAGTTGTACTAAGCAGACGGTAATCAAAGAGCCGCTAGTAAGAGTGCATCGTGGAAAGCATAGTGTAGAAGTGAATATAGCAATATGTTACACCAACACATTTTTAATACCTAATTAAAAAGCCCCAACCCTCATTCATCATTATAAGATTTTACTCCCTCCGTCCCGTTGGAATGTTCCCGGTTTGACCTACACACATATTAAGGAAATAAACTTACCAGGGGTAAATTTTACTGTTTTGACACTGTTTAGACACTGTTTGGCACTGCTTTGCACTGTTTGACACTGTTTTGATGTAGGATAACTTTCCATTTAGGGAAATAGGAACTTCTTTTTGGGACATCCAAAAAAGGAAAGCGGGAACATTCCAACGGGACGGAGGGAGTATATTATTAAGATTTTGATTGTGTTGTAATCTACAATCAATCTTTAATGAATATGATTCCCTCTTTTGGCTTTGTAGCATGAGTTGACGTGTCACCCAACTCTAAATTAACACCATTATGACAACTCTATTTTTGTCAGGGACCAGTCCTTCATAAATCTCACCTTTCACAAAGATAATATTTTGCAAAGATAAGAAAATAACTTGGAACAACAGATCATGAACCGGTCAGGGACCAGTGAATGAAGATGAGGTGCAAATGTTGGATTATTTATGAATAATCAAAAGGTGGGACTATTGTAAGAAGACCGCTAAAAGGTTGAATTATTAGTTTCCATTTTTCCAACAATTTAAATAAAAATACATGACTTCACTATATGAGTCCACTATAGAGTCATACATTACATGTGACATCATCACAATCATTCATTCATGAAGTAGGGTCTCCCACTATAATTTTATTATGGAAATGTATGGTTATGATAATGTCACATGTGTTATATGACTCCATAAAATTTTTGGGAAATCCATATGGAACGTATGTGTCCTATATAAAACGTTGTGAAATAAAACCGAATCATACCTTTTTGTAAGACACTGAAATAGTAAGCCAAACTAGTTTCGTATTTATATATTAATCCTAAATTTCTTAACAAAAGTTTCTCCTATACAAATTTGGCAAGTTTCAATTTATTTTTGTACTTCATAATATGTTTTAAAAGGAAACGTCTCCAAATATTAGTATAATTAACATAGATAAAGTGCAGAAATAGGAGTGGGGTTATATTTTATTTTCCTAACACGAGTTATGTTCTATTAACACCATACAACTTCTTCAATCAAGAGTCAATGACTCTTATTTTAGGAACGAGTAATGGTGATCCTATTTACTCATTTTTTCTAATTTGAATTCCATTTAAGGAAATTTTCCCAAAAAACCATTTGAAACTACTATGTAAAAAATTACTTCATCTGAAGCTGACAAAACCTTTTTGTAAGTTGTAACCAATGTTGTGGTTTCTTATGATGGAGGAAGTGTGTGATATCACTCATAGATAATTCCTAAAATTTTAACATTGAAGTGCATCAATCTCATACGGGATTGTTATCACGTAACTATATGTGAACTCAAACATCTCATTTTATTAGATTGAACCATTACATTTCTATCCATTTTACTAAATCAAACTAAACATTTTTTTCAAATTAGTTTAGGGCCTATGGCCCTTTCTTTATATATTATTGTCCTCTGATCTAAATACTTTTGACCTTGATAATAATCCCTTTTCTAAACATGTTATGCACCTTTGGTTTAGTAATACGCTACTCCACACACAAAACCTTTTTTACGGGTAAAGTGAAATTGTCATTTGAGGGAAATGTTTTGAACTTATAGGATCTTAATTGTATCTGTAAGTCCGTCCAATACGTGATTCAATGAAGGAGCCCATGTTTAATGCTCTAAAATTTCATTTCCATCCAGTTGAGAGCATATACGTACATTATCAATAAACTTTATTTGTAGTGTTTACAAAAAAAACATTATTTATACTACATCATATACTTCCTCCGTTCTTAAATAAATGCAACAGTCAACATTTCACACTTGCCGAGACACAACTTTGACCACTAATATATATAATTTTGTATTAGTAAAAAATTTAAAAAAAATAGATTTTGAAAATTTACAATGAGACAATTTTAACAATATTTTTTCCATAATAAAAATGTCTATACATTAATGAATAAAATGTAGTCAAAGTAGAACATGTGAATAGTGTAAATTTTCTTGTATGAACACTTCTAATTTATTAGTGTATGTTCATAAACACAATAATCAATAGAAACGACAAAATTGACTTTTGCAAATACACATTAGTGGAGCCTCATTTATATGCTTTAAACATGTGATACATTAATACATATGATACTTTGTTAGCACGGCATAATTTTCATAATTAAGTACTCCACGTGTCATAAGTTTGTAATAAAAGAATCAACCACTTTTTGTCTAGAAAATGTCTCTTTTGTTAAAATAAAGTTCCTTTTTCATGGTTTTGACCTTTTGTCAATTCAAACAAGTGTTAAAATAAAGTAGGTGTAAGATTCATGATAGTCCGTAGTGATATACATTAATCAAATAATATACATTAATGTTTTTATTTATCTTTCTACATGCGTTAGTTGACAAAATTTCATCAATTTCTGTATAATATTCAACTAATCAACTATCATTTCTCGAGAACAATGTAAAAATAATGAAGAAAAGTTTCGATCTAGTGATGCTATTTTTTATAAAGAGGTTTTTTGATAAATTATTATCTTGTTATTATTACTTTCATTAAAAGAAATATAACCTTATATCTCAAAATAACCATCACCATCTTGTATCTGTCTCTAAAGATTTCTCTTACATAATCTATATAATGTGTTTTTTCCGTACTCTAAACAATGCAAGTACTAAACGGGAAACATCATTTTACTTTCAATGGGATGCTAATTTTGATTCAAGAGGAAAGTAGTGTGAATCTGTAAACCTAGTTGGTGCTCAGCTCCCTCCTTTCAATGTAACTTCAATTCTAATTGAGTGTCATAAAAAAGTACTACATATTTCATATAAATTTTAGAATCGATGTTTAAAGATTCACAAAATATTTATAATCTATGTTTGTAGAATGAAAGTAGGGTGCTAATCAAGCGATTCAAGCATGTCAAACTCAACTTTGGATTAGATCAAGTCGTGCTAATAAAAGAATTCAATATAAAACTTGACTTGACTTAAGTTGGAGACGAGTATGAATTATGTTCAACTTCATCAATTCTACTAAATGGTACTATGTATTTTGTAAACAAACAGTTTGATTTGTTATTACGTTTAAACACACATGTGCAATCATCAATTATTGTAAATCTAAAACAAAGGTAATAAATTCTCCGCTTTGTTGTCGCTTAGATAGTAGAATGTTTTTACTTGAATTGAAATATTCTGATTTGGTCTGGTCTGATCTTAACTAGTCTAGTCTGAACTGGTCTGATAGATTTATTGTCCTTGTGTATTTTATAACCGTCGAGGTTAGTTTAGTCATTTAAATCTGATTTGATATGATCTTGTCTGGTCGGGTCTAATCTCGGATTGAAATAAGTTCAAGTAATAACATCTTAGATATCTCTTTGCCTTTTATGTTTCATTTAAAGCTAATATGAACCCCAAGTCTAATTAATCCTACATATCTCCACTTGAGCACAACCTAGGAATGCTTAAAGTCCTCACAACGTATTTAGAACATTGTCTAAATATCAAACCACATGTGTAGAAGATCAGACGTGTGTAGTATAATTTTTGTGTTTGGATTCATGCTATAAACACATAATGCAACGTTCATATGTATGAATTTGGAAAATCAATGTTAACCCATAATCGAGTAGCTATTGAGTTTTTCTAATCGAGTTTGTATACAACTCGATTGAGTTTGTATACAACTCGATTTATTTTGGAGTTTGAGTAAAGATTCATTAAACCATCACAAGCCAAGTTTGAATGGAATCAAATTAAATTCGAGTAAGAATTGATCTTGAATAACTTGCAAGCTCGATGGCATGGTAACACTAAGAGCTTGTTTGGTAATACCAAAATCGATTCAATCGCTTGATTCTGTTGAAATTTATGAAATTCCGACTGAAGTGACTGAATTGGCTGATTCTGCTGGTTTATTAAAAAAAATATTTATAATATATTTTATTAATAAAATTAAGAAAAAATTATATTTAAAAATAGCTAAAATGATCTTCTACGGTAACTTCAGCCAATACAGTCAGAAAAGTAACTCTAACCTACCTTTTTCTTATTATTACGCAATTCGACGCACGAAATAAAAAATATGTGTTTGGTGAAAAAGTTGGCTGATAAACTTTGTAAGCCGGAAAATAGAGTTACCAAACAGACTCTAAATGAGACAAAAACAAATTGACTAATTAATTAAATCCTTAAAAGGAAAATCGATAAAATGATACGGAGTAGATACAAAACAATCAAAAAGGTAGTAAAATCTCACTTGTTAATGATTCGTAATAAATGAAAGGGGCGAAAGAAGTTGAAGAAGGCAATCACGAAGAAAACGTCGCCGTATTCATTGCCCGGCTGACTTCGCAATCGTAGGAAAACAGAAAGAGCGCCCGCGCGACGCAATAGTGTGACGGACTCGTGAGTTTCTCCACCTTCGCATCCCAATGGCTTTTCTGACTTCATTCAGATCCTTCTTTACTCTTCAATCAATGTATCCCCTCCTTCCTTCTCTCTAAACTCTTTCCGTGTTTACAATCACTAGCACATACTCTCCTATATGATTTGCTGATTTGCACAGTTTGAATTACAGGAAGGGGAGAAGCTCCGGGAAGTATGGCGAAGAAGGCATCAGCAGTGTCGTCGTCGCCGTCTCCGCCGCCGTTATCGGTGCGGCATATGCTGTGGCTGGGGTGGAAGATGGTGATCGCTCTGTCTCTGGCTCTCTGTGTCTTGATTTTCCTTAGGCTCCATTACTACTCCCTCTCTGATTCCGACGACCTCATCACTGCTTCCAAAGCATTACTCTCCGTTTCTTACAAACCGCATCTCCATCTCGCCGAAAATTTCTCTGGAAATCCGAAGGTTTCTTTCCTGTTTCTAACTCGAAGCAGCTTGCCTCTCGATTTCGTCTGGAGAAGCTTCTTTCAGGTCTGCGGATTTCGCTTTTGTCGGGAATTGTAATTAAAGTTGTTAACTTTGGGGAAAGTTCTTCTACATTGTAGATTGTTTTCATTTCCCACTTCGCCTTATTTCTATGTTTTGAGAAAGTAATGATTTGGCATAAAAAATTGATCTGATCTTCTTGATGCTCACAGATTGCTGATCCTGCCAATTTCTCAATATATATACACTCCAAACCAGGATTTTCATTTGATCATTCTACAACAAGTTCCCCATTCTTTTACAACCGACAGCTCAATAACAGCATCCTGGTAAGTTCTTGAGTTCATTGATTGCTCAACAGATCCAACTTACATGATTTTGGACTTGGAAATTGAAAGAATTTTAAATGTGTTCCTAGTTCATGCTCAGCTTCAATGGAGAAGATTTAACATATAAAGATTAAAGAATTCTGATTTGCATTACAAAGTAATACGATTTCATTAACTCACTGTATTTACGAATTCCTGTTGGTTCCAAATCATCTGCTCAATATCTTAAAATTGATGGAGAAAATTGTGTAGTCCGGCTGTTTTAACCTGTTAGTGGACTAACATTGAGAGAACGTGCAGGTAGCTTGGGGAGAATCAAGCATGATTGAAGCAGAGAGGTTATTACTTGCAGCAGCTCTTGAGGATCCAGCTAATCAAAGATTTGTTCTCTTATCAGACAGGTTGGTACTTTTTGCTTTTGAAAACATCAGATAGAAATAAAAGTAATTGACAAAAGAATATCAAAGAAGAAGAAAATGACATCAGGAACTGACCAAAGATGTGCTTGCAGCTCATGAGTTTCAGTATATTTCCTTTATTAATTATTAAACCCATGAGTGAGAAAAGTTGAACACATACATCAAATTCTTATGCAATATGCTGCGGATGATGTTTTACAACATGTTGTTCCATCTGGATGCTATGAATACCTACTTTATATTTATCCATCAGATTTTGCTCAAGGACGTAAACATGTTGTACGCAGAGGTGTACAAGTACACACCATATTCTCAGTGACTTGCGGTGTTTGTGGAAGATATGTAATTGCTGCATTTTTCAAAACAAACTAAAGCTTAAAACATGTACTCAAGAAAGTCTTGTTTTCAAGTCTTCCAGAGGGCAGAGACATACATTTCATATGTGCATGAAATTTTTTTGTCTTCGAGAGATTCCAACGGACACCACATGTGCGAGTATTAGTTACGTTTGTAGTCTTGTACACCTTGGTGTACAACATGTTGTACCTTAAGCACAATCTAAGTAGTACAGAAATGCGAAACGGGAAACACGAGAAATGTGATTTCTAAAAAATATAGGATATGAAATGTGGAGGAAACGCGTAAATGTAAAAATATAAGAATATATTTATAAATATTTTTTAATATATACACACAAGTTTTTTCATATAACTTGCTTAATGACCCAATAATACAAACATTATACATTCTAAAATTTAGAAATCATTACATGTTAGTACATAATGAAACATAAAATACAATACTTTCTAGCAGTGCATTGTGTTATGAAATGTCAGTGTTGCTAAGAAGAATTACCACAAAATTTGACTAAAGATTTTTAAAAAGACACTGTTTTCCATTATAGTCTCTTAAAAGGAAAAAAATGCAAATCCATGATTTCCGAGATGCTAATTAATTAGGGAAATGGGTTCCCCAAATCTTCTTAATTATGAAAAACGGCCCCAAATGGGAATTCAAAGTTTCCGGGTTTTTGACACACTTCAGAGTGTCCAAAACAGGGAAGCGTGAGGCATGGGGAGTTTCTGTGCTTCATAGAGTAAAATCCCTTTCCATCACCCATAAGCTAAAAAAATTGGATACATTTCTGGAAGGCAGGCAGTTCTTACTTTGAATCTATTATGTTTCTGTTGTTCCATTCAACTTCCCCCATCCTATGCTTGAGTTCTTCACCAGCCCATAAAAACTCAAAGAAACAAGTCAGTGATTCTGGATTTTTTTGTTTACAAAAAAATGAAGGAGTATTTCAGAGGAAGGCCTCGAAGGGAGTTTTTACTCATTTGCAGATCAAATAACTATGTGATGCCATATTTAATTTATCAACATTGAACATACTTTTTATCAGTTTGCGAATATTACTATGTGCGTAGTATTACTTTGTGTGTATTTGTTAATTGTTACCCAGTTTATTATCTATGAGTTTTTTAGTAACCCAGTTTTTAAATTCGTTACACATTTTACTCTCTATATTTGCAGTTGTGTACCTTTATACAACTTCAGCTATGTATACAACTACTTAATGTCTTCTCCCAAGAGTTTTGTGGACAGGTAAGAAAATGACAAGATTTGCTGTTAGTTAGATCCCTGAAAAATAAGATTTAATCGTTTATTGTCTGTGTGATTATGTTTTTAGTTTTTTGGATGTAAGTGGAAAAGACAACCGGTACAACCCAAAGATGAAACCATATATACCAAAGAGCAAATGGAGGAAAGGATCCCAGGTAGAGTTTTGCAATCCACTTATTAAGTTATTACATTATTGAATTTATGATTGTAATGTGCACACTTTTTATTCCAGTGGATCGCTTTGGTTCGAGAACATGCAGAGATTGTTGCAGATGATAAAATTGTATTACCAGTTTTCAGAAAGTATTGTAAGGTACATGATGCATTAGTCTTTTTCTATGACAGTCTGAACTGATAATTGCTGATCTCATCGTGATTACTATGTTTTTATGACTGACATTATAACCTTTTCACCCTTTAGAGGCGTCCACCAATAGAGGCCAGTTTGAAGAGTCGGAATCTTGTAAGTTATTGTCTTTTCCTTCCGGTAGATGCTTTAGTGTTCTTCTTTTTATTACTCTGAGTCGGCTTTGATGGCTTTGATTTTCGATTGTTTTTTTTGTTATAATGTTTTGTATCATAGAAACACAAATTTCGTCTAAATCTTTCAGTTTGTCTCCTAACTGATAGTAATCTTGCAGAACCTTCAAAAGCAGCACAACTGTATCCCTGATGAACACTATGTCCAGACATTACTTGAAGTAAGTAACCATTAACAAATGCCTATTAATTCTTCCTTTGTCTCATAAAAGAGTTGTTTGTAACACTGATCTCAGTATTACAAACATGACAGTTTAATGGGACAGATAGAGTAGAAAATTAAGTACTTTTTCCAGGAAGTTTATTACGTAGTATGTCTTTTCTGGTGATAAATATTGTGATGAAATTCTTTTTATGTAATTTTTAATCTGTTTGATATTTCCCACGGAATATATATGGTATGCTTGGATTTCTCTAAATGCTAGGGAAAAGGAAAAGAAAAGACAATTTACTGTCTTATGCTTGGTTTTATGATGGAAAACATGTAAGATAATGAAATGTGATTAGTTTGTAATTTTTAAAGTATATTTTGTTTTGCAAGTCTGATCATAAAAGTAAACAAAGAAATACTTTTGAAAAAATGTTGGAAACAAATTTATTGGGTTTGAGCCCATGTTATCATTCTAACAAACTTCCCTTCATTCCAATGTTACTCTATTTTCTTTCCCCGGTAGTTTGGGGTTCCAAGTGGGACCTATGGAGGTCATTATCGTGTTTTCATGGTGTTTTCGTGGTCACACCAATCGAACCTCTTTTGATTCTTCTTTATTGTGTATAGATGCATGGTGTTGGAGCTGAACTGGAGCGGAGAACAATAACTTACACAGTATGGAACCAATCAACATCAAATATGGAAAAGGGGGCCTGGCACCCCAAAAGATTTACTTATTCAGATGCAGAACCTGAAAAAATCAATAAAATAAAGGTACTTGTGTATGTTTAACTGGCCTCGGCCTAAAAAACACCCCAAAAGAAAGCATAGTCATTGTGTTTTTTGTGCAAGCACATGGATTTATGGTTTGACTAATTTTGAACAGGACATCAGATATGTGTACTACAAGACAGAGGCCCGAACAGAGTGGTGTAGTAACAATTCAACACGGGTCCCATGCTTTCTATTTGCAAGGAAGTTTTCACGGGCCGCTGGGATGCGCCTTTTGAGCGTAGTGGGTGGCTCGCTTGAGGGGTCCGCTGCTTCCAAGGAGCCTCCACCATGATTTTTTTTCCATGATGGCCTGTGTTCCTAAATCCCATTTGCACATGGTTCAGTGCACATGAGATTCACACAACAGTTTCTGTTCCACCAACATGGGCTATGGACAAAGTGAGGACATTTTGGTCGTGGCAGAATATACAGAGGGATGACATGAATAGGTGTGTTATTAGGTAGCATGATTGAGTAGGAGTGAATCACTTGTATTGTATGATTAATACTATTATAGTATAATAGTAGTAATTCAAGAAAGGTTGTTATTCTTACTGTAGTTGCAATAAACAGAGGGTTTCCTTGAATTCACCTCTTCTAGGTGAAATTACCTTTTGAGATATGCCACCTCAATCGTCAGTCTACTGGACGTCACTAACTTTATTGTTTTAGTTCTTCTAAAAACTTTAATACTCTCTCTTTAAAGTAATTAATTTTTTTTTTATATCTCCCCTAAATGGCTTTTACTGTTCTTATTCCATGTGCTGATGTGCGGAATAAATTTGCTAAACTCCAATGGAGCAGAAAGAGTACTCCGTATATAGTAATGGCTATTCAGAATAGCTATGACTTTCAAAGTATCACTAATTTAGTTGTGAATATCCTTAAAGTTTAGAGTAAGCATTGTTCAAGTTTAGGATGAATAGGATCCAAGGAATTCGTTATCATGTGAAAATTATGAAATTCAAAGACAAAATACGCTGTTATAACTTATGAACAATAAATAGAAACAAGTCAGGCAATTTAGAATTTAAAAGAAATGGGTAATATTATCACGTTAGCACCAGGCCTCGGAACGACCAAAGCCCCATTCTGAACTGTGTTCTTTATGGCCAAAAAACGAACACAAATAATTTTGCCAAACCGTTTCATGTCTCAAATGACAAAAAATGCAAATCTACTAGAAAAACAGGGGATCTATAAGTCAGTGACAGCCATAGTTACTGAATGTTCTCCTTCAAGAGCAGCTTTGAAATTTTGAATGTTAGCAGCCAAGTGGCTTTCTTTCCATCCTTTTTGCCGAGCCCGGAGCTCCCACATTGAACTAACCTCTCTTTGTGCCTCTAACACCGCTTCAGCTTTTTCGCGCGCTTCCTCGCACGTTTCCATCCCTGAAGTGCACTTTTCTGCCTCTTTTTGGTACTGGGAAGTCAACTTCTTCGCTTCTAGAAGTGCCTGCTCTGCCTTCTGTTGTATTTCATGCACTTCGCCTTCCCGTTTGTGAAGTTCCTCAACCAATTGTCTTGTGAAATTCCTCTCTGCTCCCTCCCTCACCTCCGTCTGATCATGCTCCATGCAATCTATATATGAACAAAAAAGTATTCATGCATACTCCCAATTCCCATGCAAAAGATATAAGGATTTTCCCCATCCAAACGTAGAAGATATTTAACTATCAATCTATAGAGCTCGAATGATTGAAAAGTATCAATTAAAGATTTAATACACCATAAACCTGGAGTATAATTTCTTTAAATATTTACGGACTACTTATTTTTATGCTAAGTTTCCCATAAAAATAAAAATAATTTAGTTACCTGGAGAAGACTTAGCTACCTGGAGGAAACTTAATATATAGAAATGAAGACTGACCTATGAAAGAAGTGGCATTCAGTAAACCTGCATGACATGCAGAAAGTAGATGAAAGTGGAGGCTATATGTCAATTACAGATCCAGATCAGATAATAATATAAAATCAATATGTAAAAGTTATATTATGTACCATTTTGGTGGGAAAGGAGAGGTTTAAGAGTGCAATCACATAGACAAAGAGGGCAAGAAGTGGCGGCGGCGTCGGAGAGAAGCCAATAGAGAGGCGGTCCGATGAGATAACCAGCAATAATGCAGACACCCATCACTGATGCGGTTGCCACCGTCGTGGGGCTCCTCCATGTTTTGCCGCCGCCGCCGTTATTTCTTCCATGTTTATGATGATGATGATGATGAGAATTCATCTCGATCTGGATCTTTCTTTGTTTCTATGATCACCCACGTACACACAATACATGTTTCATTTAGCTCCTGTTGATCTTCCAGATTGAATTGCCTAGTTTTGTGTTAGGATGGCGTGATGATAACCGTGTAATCTTAACTCTAGCCGATACCTTGCTTTACTCCTTTACCTTTTCTTTTCTTTAATTATAATACAAAAATTTGCAAATGTAGTCCGATCCTTTCGTTTTACTCTCACTGGAGACTATATGCTCGAAACTATAGTTAGACATCCATGTTTAACTTTGTCCTATTTTACCTTTTCGGAAAGTCTCACAAAGATTGTCCCACACCAAATTTGGTAAAGTTTGTGTGGCTCTAAATCATTCTTACTTTATTCTTACTTTATCAATTTAAGATCAACCACACAAACTCACTTTTCCTAATAATCGTGTCACCTTCTCTTGTAGCAATCTAAGTGGGACGGGGTAGTGTATTATAAGAGAATCCAATGGTACCGATGAACCCTCCTGATTCCTGAAATATAACAAAAGTTGATCCAAAATGGTATATGTGCTGTGTGTTTTTGGGAAATTAGCGGTTCTTTTATTTTTGAAAGAACAATCACTACAAAAAATAAGCCATTTGTCAAGGATTTCTTCACTTTGTCAAAAAATTCTTGACAAATGTTTTTGTCACGGATTTGTTCCTTAATGCCACAGCCTATGGCGGAGCCAGAAAAAAGCTCAGGGAATCGAAATCCGACTAAATACAGAATAAAATGAGCAAGCCGTTTAATTTTTAACGATACCTGAATTGAATCTTTCATATATAACTTAGATAAATGAAATGTAAATGAGGCTTCATGTAAGTAATGAGTGAATAATATATATATATATATATTTATATACGGAAAAGATCCTGTCCAGCCGGAGGGACAGGATCCTCCGTCCGGCCGCCGCCGTTTAGGGCGGTTCCCGGTAGAGTTTTTTGATGAAATTTTTATGGAATGTTCCTCATCAAGTCTAGTTTATCCACAAAAAATTTCATGGGAAACTTAGCATAAAAATGTAACTAAATTTGATTAAATTATTTTTGTGGGAAACTTAGCATAAAAATGTAACTAAATTTGATTAAAAATAATTTTGTAACTAAATTTTTATGCTAAGTTTCCCATAAAGTTTTCCATAAATTCTTGAAGCTTACTGCACATTCTGCGCATTTATAAAGTAGACTAAAATAAGTAGTATTTTACTGCACATTCTGCGCAATTATAAAATGTAACTAAATTTGATGTGAGTACGCTTTTATAGTCACTTGTGGGGATTATAATGTAACTAAATTTTCTATGAGTACCCCTAATGAGCTATCTCTTTCCATAATTCAGCAGATTTAGTCAATTCAATCACAATTTCATCAATTTCGATATATTTAAACAATTTTAGTTTTACCAATCGGATTCAAAATAACATTTTAAATAAAGATGTCTAATACTATCGTATATGTTAGTTTTGTAAATGTAAAACAGGCTTATAGTTTATAAATGTCACATGATCTATTAAAGTTGCTCAATGAGAGTGATATGATACATAATCGTAAGAAATACGTATTATAAATTTATGATAGTTTTTTGAGAAAATTGGGTGTATGTACACGTCTTAATTTGTGCCTTTAAGTTAATATCATGATTTATCAAAAATAAACTAAATAGCCTTTATCGAAATGCACGGGCATATTGCGTTCATTATAACTGTAAATGTAATTTCCTTCTTCAAACGCTAGTCTAAAATCACACCTCTAGGGCGAGCACTATTCATTCGTATTTCTCAGTTATTTTCATGTCGGCAACAACATAACCCTAAATCCATTTCAGAGTTAAAAATTTCCACTCAAATTTTTGTTTTGCTATTATAAATTTATAATTTCCAACATGAATTTCTCAAATTTCAAGTTTGTTGAGATCTCCAACACACTTGTGAATTGAACATCTACTGCAATACTATCACCTTTTGGAATACGATAGTGTGAAATGTGAAAGAAATAATATTGTTGAACACTTTTGGATCGGATGATTTGTTGCAGGGCAATACGTGGAGTTCTAGTGCTCTTTAAAAAAATTAATTACTGCTTATTTTTCTTTTGCACTCTAGAGTGGCAGAGGAGAAGTGGTCTTGTTTCTACATTGTTCTCTCAACTTCAATCTCGGCATCTCGCCATTAAGAAAAGAAAATTAACCTGCAGTTAATTAGGAATGAAGGATATATATGATTTATACTTTTATCCGCTTTTTTTGGGTAACTCTTATCGCTTTATATTAATAACAGAAGTGTTATATACTTCATTTAATAAAACAGATGTTACTAACTTCATGCACCCTATTTATTAAGGTTATGCAGCCATTTTCCCCTAGTTTTTTTTTTTTATCATCATCTCCATGATATGATACTACCTCCGTTCTGTACGAAGGTTATCATTGTAAAATGACACGATTATTTGGACAATAATTAAATGTAATAATTCGAGTATATTTTGAGAAATAATTATGATGGATATATAATATATTGGGTTAGTTATTGATGATAATTGTGATGTTATAGATGTATTATTTTTAATATTTAATGATTAAATTATTAATATATTCATGTTAATTGCTAACACGAAAATGATTTCATATCCATATCAAAACTTTCTTTTCAAATAGGATTGAATTCTGATGCTGACTCAAGTTCTAACGAAGAGTCACCTTTCGCTAATGACAGTACTACATAATTTGATTTCGATCAAGGTATTAAAAAATTTAATGCAATTTGGTTCGTATTAATCACTTTGTATTATCAATAAACTCGATTTCTTTTATTCTAGGATATTTGGATATTCTAGATCCAATTTAGTTTCATTATTGAGAGGTTTTCCCTTATTGTTACTTATATTATAAATTAAAGGGAAAAGGTGTGATGGAGTATATGGCCCAGGGACCCCGGCCCACAGACCGGGACACGCCCAAGGCCCAAATACAGCGGCCCAAGTGTCAAGAAGCCCACAATACACACAGGGGTGCCTTCGGCCTCCTTAGCCAAGGGATCCAAATTACACAGGGCAGCCAGATTTAAGCGCACTGAGCTACTGGGAGAAAACGACATAAAACAGTAGCCCTCGGCTACTAGGAGCCTTCGGCACACACATGGTGCCTTCGGCTACGCAACACCCTTCAGCCATATGTCCCTGGCCGCGGGATCTACGCTCCACGAAGCTTCCTCTGGGGACAGGCAACCACCGCATTCAATGCGGCGTCACGTCCAACCACCGCATTTAATGCGGTGCACATGCTTTTGCCGTTGCCACCCCGATTGAGGTGACCCTCGGCCGTCAAATTGTTGACACGTGCACCCTCATCGCATTTATGACTGCTATAAATAGCAGCCCTTATTCTCCTTGTAAAAGACGCATAGTTCATTTAATACAATCGACTCTCTCTCCTACTTGTTTGCTCGGACTTCTCTTTATGTTATTCTCACAATAACCCCTCGGATAAGCTACCCCCAGGTACACTATCCATCAAGGTGCAAATAAACCCTCGAACTAATCGAAAAAATGCAATTCACCCATTTTATAGAGGGCTTTGTCCGGCCATTTGGGGTGGTACCCTCTCAATAATGGCGACGGCCAGACAGAGCCTCCTATAAAAGGGGTGATTTGCACTTTTTCGGTTAGTTCAAGGGTTTATTTGCCCTTTTTTCCTAAATTAAAACATAATTATAATTTCTAAAAGTTAATAAGTCACATTTTATCTACTATCATTATTCTGGTCGTAATTATGAATTATTTCTTTATTTAATATAGAATAATCTGTATCGAGGTTGGAAAAAAGACAACTGTTTAGTAAATCTAAAAAATATGCAATATTGATGTTATATGAAAGAACATAAAAATTATGTATTTTAATACGTTTTATTCGATATCGTGCACTGGATTGTATAATATTCAAAAGATGACTATTCCATGGTCATAAGTCATTTTCTCATCCACCCAACAAGTATGTAATTTTCGATGAAAGGCTTTTCTTTCACCTTCACAATGAGCGATCAATGTTCTTTAATGAAATGATAACCTTGATTCGGTGTTAACAAAAAAAAACTTTTAAAGAATCAATGTTTACATCTTAGATGCAAGAAAAGAAAATCTATACCGAATAAAAAGATTTGACATATGCAAAATTTGTTCCATAATTTATATCTTTTGGATTGGATTTTAAAATTATTAAATTTTCTGTTTTTCTAAGTAAACTAACCATTATCATACCTAACCTATTTTTATGTCCTTTTTTTTACCCTAAGGGGTCGGGGGAGGGTACCTGGGAAAATTTGGGATCAATCTCCCTTCATGTAGTATTGAACCCGAGATCTCTCATAAACGAGAACAAGTTGGTGACCAACTGAGCTGGACAACTTCCTATTTTTATGTCCATTTACTCAAGGTTTTCGGTGTATTGGTAGCTGAACTTTCAAAGCATTATACATCACTAAATAATTTTAAATTTTATATTTGAAATGATTTCTGTTGAAGTCTAGTTTCCAATCTAGCAACCATTTATAATGTAACTAAATTGGATCTCGAAATTAAAATATCATAGAATAAAAGAAATTCAGTTAATTGATAATACAGAGCGATTAATATGAACCAAATTGCATTAAAATTTTCACTACCTTGACCTAAATAAATATATTTAGTACTTCATTAGTGTAAGGTGACTCTTCGTTAAGTTAAAACTTGAGTCAGCATCAGGAGTCAATCCTATTTGAAAAGAAAATTTTGATATGCATATGAAATCATTTTTGTGTTAGCAATTATCACGAAAATATTAATCATTTAATCATTTATATGTTTGAGACTTTTAGGTTGAGCTCACCATGCTTTTGACCTCTTAACTCCTCATACATAAATAAAAATGCAAGTTGTGACATGTTGGGATATAATCATTCGCATTTTATGTCATTTTGTACAACTATTGAAAAACTAATTAACTAATTATATTAATCTAAGTTAGTCTTTAGCCCAGACACATATGAATGTCCATGGATTGTGACCTATCAAACATGAACACTTAAATTATTTGGAGATGTCCATGGGGGTCTACAGCCCGTTTGAGACTTTGTTTTTAGTTTATCAGGGTTAGCGGTCAATTT